TGGACAACATCTTGAGATGGCTTGTTTCAGTAGGAAGTGAGTATTTGGACAACATCTTGAGATGTTTTGTTTCACAAGGAAGTGAGTATCTGTACAACATCTTGAGATGACTTGTTTCACAAGGAAGTGAGTATTTGGACATCTTGAGATGGCTTGTTTCAGAAGAAAGTTAGTATTTGGACAACATCTTGAGATGACTTGTTTCACAAGGAAGTTAGTATCTGAACAACATCTTGAGATGGCTTGTTTCAGAAGGAAGTGAGTATTTGGACAACATCTTGAGATGGCTTATTTCAGAAGAAAGTTAGTATTTGGACAACATCTTGAGATGACTTGTTTCACAAGGAAGTTAGTATCTGGATAACATCTGGAGGTGATTTGACTAACAATGACAGATCAAAAGAAAGACAAAGAGATAACGTTTCTGGACGTGATTTGTCTCACCAGGACAGCTTCAAAGTAAGACAAAGTGGGAAATATCTGGATAACATCTGGAGGTGATTTGACTAACAAGGACAGCTCCGAAGAAAGACAAAGTATCTGGACGTGATTTAACTAACAAGGACAGCTCCAAAGCAAGACAGAGTGGGAAATATCTGGACAACATCTGAACGTGATTTGGCTCACCAGGACAGCACCAAAGCAAGACAGAGTGGGAAATATCTGGACAACATATGGAGGTGATTTGGCTAACAAGGACAGCTCCAAAGAAAGACAAAGAGATAAATTATCTGGACAACATCTGGCTCACCAGGACAGCTCCAAAGAAAGACAAAGTGAAAAATATTTGGACAACATCTGGAGGTGATTTGGCTCACCAGGACAGCTTCAAAGAAAGACAAAGTGGAAAATATTTGGACAACATCTGGAGGTGATTTGACTCACCAGGACAGCTCCAAAGAAAGACAAAGAGATAACGTATTTGGATAACATCTGGAGGTGATTTGGCTAACAAGGACAGCTCCAAAGTAAGACAAAGTGGAAAATATTTGGACAACATCTGGAGGTGATTTGACTAACAAGGACAGCTCCAAAGAAAGACAAAGAGATAAAGTATCTGGATAACATCTGGACGTGATTTGGCTCACCAGGACAGCTCCAAAGAAAGACAAAGTATCTGGACAACATCTGGAGGTGATTTGGCTCACCAGGACAGCTCCAAAGTAAGACATTAAGCGTTGTCACACAAAGAACCAATCTAATTTTCAATACTGTTAACAGTGTAATTGTCACCATTGTTATAACACTGGGCGAAGTGATACAAACAATTGATCTAATTTTTGTAACTGCTAACAGTGTAATTGTCACCATTGTTATAAGATTAAACGTTGTCACACAAACAACCGATCTAATTTTTGTTACTGCTAACAGTGTAATTGTCACAATTGTTATAAATTAAGCATTGTCACACAAACAACCGATCTAATTTTTGTTACTGCTAACAGTGTAATTGTTACCATTGTTATAAATTAAGCGTTGTCACACAAACAACCGATCTAATTTTTGTAACTGCTAACAGTGTAATTGTCACCATTGTTATAAATTAAGCGTTGTCACACAAACAACCGATCTAATTTTCATTACTGGTAACAACGTAGTGGTTATCATTGTTAAAACAACGAGCGTTATATTCCAACCGTTCTATTTCTATAGAGAAGCTACATGTTAGTTGTTAAAACTTTGGTTCTACGTTTCGACTCGGTGTTTAATTAAATGACGTATATATTGATGACATTAGTTTAATAGAACTATTTGAAACATTAGTTTATATAATTAAATTAGTTTTATAATTCAAAACAAAGAATTATAAGAAAAACCTAGGTGAAAGCTAGAGAGTTACTGTTCGGATAAACTCTCTGGTTAGTCTTAGCGGTCAACTCGTGAAAGGCTGTTTTATCTCTCATTGTTTCACCAACGCAAAACTAGAAGCCTAAATTCGTACAGCGATAGATTTGGAACAGAACTTATAGCCCTGTTTCTGCTGAATTACGTAGCTATTAAATCACAATTTAAATATCTGTATTTCACCAGTAAATAAGGTTCAATAACTTTGGAATTCAGCTGAAGAGTTCAATGTTTACATACACCAGTTATATTGTTAACACTACGTTAGGTATAGGAGATAGTTTTTATATAGTCAATATTTGGCTTAGACAGAGAGATTGTGTTTTCTATACTAAATTAGTATTAATTCATTTGTAATATTTCCTTTATGTTGTTATTGTAACGTTTCCATCATTGTGTTAATATTAAGCTGCATGTTTAATACTGCAATATATTTAGCAGTTATTCAAAAATTAATCTCTTTTTGGAAGTTTCTTGTGTAACAGCAATAGCTGTATATTATTATTGTTTTTGTACTTAGAAGTATCGTCATTTTTGTATGGACATAAACTCAGAAACAGTAAACTTTGTCTTTGTTGTTTTGGTTAGAAACTAAAACCATCCACATAAAACATTTTATTACATCAGCAAAACTACATTATTAGTTCCACAAAATAATTTCGAATGTTATAAATTCATCTGGGAAAAACTTTTCTAACTTATAACGTAATTTTTGAAGTATCGTGTTATTTTTCGAACAAGCTAGAATCACACGTACAACAACATCTGGTGTAAAAGTTTTTGAAGATTTTCAATCCAAACCGGGATTTCTAGGGGGGTCATTTTTAAATTTGAAAAATACATTTGACTATAAATCCGTCGCCAACTGCTAAACAGCTCTATGATAAAACCATTGTTGACATTATAAAATACAAATGAAAGTAGTTTATGTACTTTTGTTTAATATTAAACTTTATAAGTTACACTACTGATAAAGTTATCTCTCATTTCGTCTGTGTGTAAATATTTCAACATCAAGATCATTACGAAACAGAACAGACACTACCATCAAGGAACAGATAAACATTACTTGGAATAATCTGGATAGACAACTTACATAATTTAATATTATATATAATTTTTCAGAAACTCCAGCATTCCATGAAAACAATATTTATCTGCACACAACAATCTATTTGAAGCGACACGACAGTTTTGAAATCGTTAATCAACAGTGCGAATATCACGCTATTTAAGTCAGTGAAGATAGACATATTTATATGTAAGAAGTGGAAGACAACGAGATACTCTCCACTCGGCCGTCAACAGTTCACACTCTGACACGCACTTGAACCACTGGTCAACATAGTAGTTAGCATCATCAACGAGTTAATAAACACCGTCAAGTGAAACTAACCGAAAACAAATGATCAATTGTAATGTCCACGATGGCACTACGACGAAAGCTAGTACTAAGTGATGTCCCGGTATCACGTAATATGTCAGAGCTGCACCTTCACAAAACCCAGAATCACATAAGTTGTCCATAGTGGCACCTCCACAATTACTGCATCTGGTAGTTACTAGCTGGTAGACATAGTGCAGGGTGAGTTCTAGAACTTACCATTTACCAAACAGCTAACTCTTCTAGTTGATACTACCAACGATGATCTCTACTTAAGTATGGAGTATTTCGTTCTTCTTTCAAAAGTAGCAGACATAATGTTAGATAAGCTAATCAGCGTCTTCAACATAAACACACATTCACGATGGTAAAATAATAATTCACACCAATTACCCTAGCAACTGACACCATAACAATAGATCCACACTTAATGACTCGAGCTTGACATCGGTTAAAATAATAATTCACACCAATTACCCTAGCAACTGACAAAATAACAATAGATCCAAACTAAATAACTGGAGCTTGACATCGGTTAAAATAATAATTCACACCAATTACCCTAGCAACTGACACCATAACAATAGATCCACACTTAATAACTGGAGCTTGACATCGGTTAAAATAATAATTCACACCAATTACCCTAGCAACTGACACCATAACAACAGATCCACACTTAATTGTCAGTTGCTAGGGTAATTGGTGTGAATTATTATTTTACCGATGTCAAGCTCGAGTTATTAAGTGTGGATCTATTGTTATGGTGTCAGTTGCTAGGGTAATTGGTGTGAATTATTATTTTACCGATGTCAAGCTCGAGTTCCATAACAATAGACCACACTTAATAACTCGAGCTTGACATCGGTTAAAATACTAATTCACACCAATTACCCTAGCAACTGACACCATAACAATAGATCCGCACTTAATAACTCGAGCTTGACATCGGTTAAAATACTAATTCACACCAATTATCCTAGCAACTGACACCATAACAATAGATCCACACTTAATGACTCAAGCTTGACTACAAACAAGTCTACGATTAAGTTCACTTCGAAAAAAAACTGTCTTCAAAGCGGATAGGAACATCCCGGATGTTGGTTGTTACCAAGGGATCGAGAAATAACATTTGTCTAAGTTCTTTGATATTACTCAAGGCAGAATATCTCGTATCAGTAAAGCATATTCAAAAGTATATGATGGCCTGTGTTTGTGTTATCTTAGCTTAAGGACTAGATATCTTCAGCAGTGGGTACATCAGCGGAAGATTTAGGGTAATAACCTTCGGATACATGTTTCTCACATTAAGATAGACAATGAACGAAAACTCGGTCTCAATCCCAAAAGTATTATTATTTTAATGTACTACAGAATCAAAATAAAAATAGTAGCGAATACTTCACACTTATGAGATTTTTTTCTATATTTGGCACAAATACTGAAAGGTAATAGTTAATCATGTTCAAAATCTCACATGTAATATTTTTACATTACTACTTCTTTGTGTATGTTACTGTGTAACTTAGTGTTATAATAAAGACTTAGTGTTACATTAAAGGACTTAGTGTCATAATAAAGGACTTAGTGTTATAAAAAAGACTTAGTGTTATAATAAAAGACTTAGTGTTATAATACAGGACTTAGTGTTATAATAAAGGACTTAGTGTTATAATAAAGGATTCCTGTTTAACATTCAATAGATCTATGTTTGTATTTGTTATCACGTCTTATTGGTATTGCAATGAACCAAGCTATAGATATAACGTAATTATTCTTAGGTTGATGTTGTTTCCTTAGTGCAAGGCTACGCAAGGGGCTATTTGTCAACCGCGGGGAATCGAACCCAGGATTTTGAAAGTCCGTAAACTTATTGTTGACCCACCAGAGGGCTTGTGATTAGGTTTAACTTAAATACTTTAAGAGTTTTAACATGTAAAAAACACACACACACACACACAAAAACAGCGTAGTAATAAGAGTACTGAGTATTTGTAACATTACGATGTTTATCTTCTAAGCCTCTGCAATATGCAGCAATGTAAACATTTAAAAAAATGTTAATGACTCCAATATTGTAATATTAAACAAACCACAATATAAAATATATACTTGATAGTTTTTTGTTCTTTATATCTATGTTTAAACAACACGTATTCGGTGGGGAAAAAACAGTGAGACAGAAAAAAAATCCTTTCGATAACATCTACGTCGGTCGTTTTGAGCCTAACTTGTGACTCAGCAGAAGGTTTGAGTTATTGAAGATAGGTGGCAGCACCACTGCATCTCACTCTTTCGCTATCGGAGTTTGCTTCTGGCGCTTTAAATTTTTTTCTCCCAAAATACTCCTCAGGTAGAAATACGTTGTGTAGTGGTACCATAATATCTGCAGATGGCGACATCTTGTGACGAATAGTGTCGGAAACAGTATTGTCGGACTTTGATAAGTACGTGGCAGATGTATGTGACAGTCCTCGTCCACGAAGTAAGCAATGATTGGGATTTCTCCGTAACATGGCGCGCAAGTAGGCGTTCCGTACAACAGTCTGCACCTGAAAATATTTTTAACGCAGATTAAACAATAGTCTATCTGCGTTATGTCTACAGCGGGAATCGAGTCCCAAATTTTAAAGCAATACGCCCCAATCTTACCTCTGAGAACTACATATTAATTTGCTATTAATGCATTATTGTGGACAATCTTGATTTAATTAAAAATTTAGAAAACGTGTAAAAAAAGTTGCTAGTAACATATTAATGTTACAAGAAAACTACAGTGATTTGATTAACCTATGAAAATCACAATAAAATTAATTCTGAATATTTTACGATTTTGCTGTAACTGGGAAATACTGCAGTATTTGGTTTTCTCGTATTATTCCACTCAATATTTGGAAATTGTGACTTAAACCTAAGCTATTATGCAGCTAAAATGAACATTTACTGATTTAGGGTTAGCGAAGGGCGTTTTTAGCATAGATATTTATAACTATGGTTTTTAGATTTTAGGGCTGAAACTTTGTAGGCGAACTCGCATGAATCTAAGTAACAAAAAAAGGAAAATACAGAAAAGCGTCGAATATTGAAATAATATATATCAACATAACATAAAATAACTCTTACCTCCGAGTTCATGAAGCAGTACAGAACTGCAACAAATATTCCCTGAAATTAAGTAAGCAATAAAAATGTCATTTAACATTCCAAAAACATATTAGGCCTAAAAAAAATTATGCACAAACGATGAAAAATACATAAAAAATATCGAATAAAGATAAGAGATGGGCCTACTTATAATTAAAGCTTAGCGAAAAATAACTTAAGGACTTTACCGATTACGTTTTTACGGTTTATTCTATTATTATTTAATAATTATCCCAAGCCTTACGTAACACTAGAATAAATTAGGCTTACAAATATAACTTACGTCACATCAACAGTACACTATTCTTCGCGCAGTGGAAACAGGTAGTTGATTTATATTCCATTATTGGGAAATAATAAGTTAGCAGATTAATTTATAAAAAGAAATAGACAAATATAATTCAAAATTATTTAAATGAAGGTATATTCTGAGTTCAAAGTTTCTTGTAAAAAACGAACTGCAAATAAATGAAACAAGTAATAAAAATTAATCACAACAAAAATAATATTTTTAACTTTCCATAAGAATTCCACATAAACACAACTGTTTCTAGAAAAAAAAGCTAAAGTAACTAGTGTTAACAGGCAGTTCAGTAAAGTTAATTATGTCTTCAGTGTCATTTTGTGTTTAAAACTCTGAAAATATTTCGTCCAACAGAAAAATAAACAGAAGAACTACAACATCAACAGGTGAAAATAAAACAGACAGGACAATGAGATCTGTTATACACCTGGATAGAAGAACTACAACATACCAGGTAAAAATAGATCCACAGGTGTGTGAAAATATATCATTTGTAAAGTGGAATTATTAATTTAAAAAAAAATTGTTTAGTTGAAACTGTTGAATATTAAGCTACAGAAATCCGTGTTCACAGTCTTTGTAGGGAAATACGGATTAAACATTAGTGATTAGAAAGTCGAATAAAAACACGTATGTCCTTGTGGACAGTTGTCCAACAAACTCATGAATGTCCTTGTGGAAAGTTGTCCAACAAACACATGAATGTCCTTGTGTGAAGTTGTTCAACAAACACATGAATGTTCTTGTGGAAAGTTGTTCAACAAACACATGAATGTCCTTGTGGGAAGTTGTTCAACAAACACATGAATGTTCTTGTGGAAAGTTGTCCAACAAACACATGAATGTCCTTATGGGAAGTTGTTCAACAAACACATGTATGTTCTTGTGGAAAGTTGTCCAACAAACACATGAATGTCCTTGTGGGAAGTTGTTCAACAAACACATGTATGTTCTTGTGGAAAGTTGTCCAACAAACACATGAATGTTCTTGTGGGAAGTCATCCAACAAATACATGTATGTTCTTGTGGGAAGTTGTCCATCAAACACATGAATGTCCTTGTGGGAAGTTGTTCAACAAACACAGGAATGTCCTTGTGGAAAGTTGTCCAACAAACACATGAATGTCCTTGTGAGAAGTCATCGAACAAACACATGAATATCCTTGTGGGAAGTCATCCAACAAACACATATATGTTTCTGTGGAAAGTAGCGTAATATAAACATATGTATGTACTCGAGAAAGGTTGTACAACAAACAAATATACGTCTTCATGAAAACTACCCTAATAAAAACACATGTACGTATTCGGGAATGTTGTCCAAAAGACACATGTGTGTCTTCATGCAAAGTTGCATAAAGTTTATAATTTACACATCGAAAGAAAATTACTTGTCGTTTACTTTTATACGTTTTCTTTCATTTTTGCCAGTATTATAACCGTTAAAACAAACTCATTAACATTCCTAGTCGTCAACTGACATAGCTACTTCTTACTATTATTATAACTGTTAAAACAAACCCATTAACATTCCTAGTCGTCAACTGACATAGCTAGTTAAATGTAGAAATGAAAAACACAACATAGTTAGAGAGAGAAAAAACAAAGAAACGCTAGTCTAATTTGATTACGAGGTACGTAGTTTTAGAAAATCAAGTTTGGAGACAGCTTGTATTGGTAATGATGAGAAATGCTTGTCGAAACGTTGCACATTTGTCACTTGTAATAAAGTTTCTTTCATTACCCATTCAAGCCGTCTCCCAGCGTCACCCTGCTCTATGTTACTGCCTTGTTACTGTGACTCCCACCTGGGAAGATTGGAGTACAGCATTGGTGATCATGTAAGCCCTCTCTAGGTGAGAATCGTCACGAGGATTGATGCAGAAGAGAAGGTGAGTGATTCCAAGTAGGGGGAAGAGAAGAGCAGTAGCTTTAATGGCTTTTCTGGAAAATGAATATTTGTGTAAGAACGATAAATCATCCACTGTATAAGAATATATCAACTTCACAAAATGGCGCTAGTTAAAAACACTTTGTGAACTTGCTTGATTAGGAGGTCAGAGGTCAGGCTACTTGATCGAATATTTTTGGAAACTACGTGACGTGTTGAATATCTTAACATGTATATTATCTGAATACGTAAAGGAGGCAGAATATGCTTGCTGAAATGTAAAATATTTTTTTATAATTTGAAAATCGGACAAATTGAAATTTGTTGAAACTTCGACCAGTTCTTCACGTTTCAATTAAAACGCTATAACATATAATTGGTTTGTTTTTGAATATATATATTAATCCAATTTGTTCGATAAAACGTTGGTTGACAAATATCTACTTTCTGTGATAAGTAGGAAGCTACATAATGACTATCTGTGCTGTGCCCACTACTGTGATGTAACATAATCAAAAATGGCGTATTGTAAGTAAAAGAAACAAAAAGTAAACAATACAATAATATACGGTTTATTAATTGATTGAAAATAAAGTAATATTTTACCTTTAAAAAGAAACTGAAACGACATAACTACCGAAAACTCGTGATTAAAAAACAAAACAAATCAACTTGAACTACCGGAACCTCGTGATTAAAAAACAAAACAAATCAACTTGAACTACCGGAACTTCGTGATCAAAAAACAAAACAAGTCAGCTTGAACTATCGGAACCTCGTGATTAAAAAACAAAACAAGTCAACTTGAACTACTGGAACCTCGTGATTAAAAATCAAAACAAATCAGCTTGAACTACCGGAACCTCGTGATTAAAAAACAAAACAAATCAACTTGAACTACCGGAACCTCGTGATTAAAAAACAAAACAAATCAACTTGAACTACCGGAAACTCGTGATTAAAAAACAAAAAACAAAACAAATCAGCTTGAACTACCGGAAACTCGTGATTAAAAAACAAAACAAGTCAACTTGAACTACAGGAACCTCGTGATTAAAAAACAAAACAAGTCAACTTGAACTACAGGAACCTCGTGATTAAAAAACAAAACAAATCAACTTGAACTACCGGAACCTCGTGATTAAAAATAAAACAAGTCAACTTGTAATATGTATAGATAAGACCCAGGGGTTCTTTTTTTGCATGGTTGTTTGTCCAACTCTAAAGAATAATATTATAAACAGCTCTATCAAAATTGAATTTGATCGTACTAGTTCTGAAAACCAAAAGAGTGACTGTTTACCTGACTTGAATCGTTTCTATGGAGACACTCATCCGGAGCTTGGTAACCAATATTCGTACGACATTGATCAGGAAAACTGTATTGATCTGAATAAGACAAATAAAAAAAATTAACAAAATAAAGAAAGTCTCAGTGTATTATTAAAACTCAAACTTTTCGCTGAAAATCCAGACATAATTATGTTGTTAATTACTAATCAATCCCCTAAACTCAAACTTTCAAAAGACTGCGCTAAGCTATTATGAGACTTTAGTAGATCTATTAGTTTCCTTGAAACTAATTAACGACATAAAAATAAAACTTACCAACTGTAAGTAAATAAAAAAGTTCCCAAGTTAAAAAGTATCACATTTAACAAAATTGCTGTTTATTAACCCAGTTTTGTCAAGATTCTCCAGAAAGCATAATGAACAATGATCAATTAACAAGGTAGTTAGTGTGTCGGGCTGTGGATCGGAGGGTACAGAGTTCAAGACGTGATGCTAAAGAATAAGGTAGTTAGTGTGTCGGGCTGTGGATCGGAGGGTACAGAGTTCAAGACGTGATGCTACAGAATAAGGTAGTTAGTGTGTCGGGCTGTGGATCGGAGGGTACAGAGTTCAAGATGTGATGCTACAGAAAATCCACAGCCCGACACACTAACTACCTTGTTCTGTAGCATCACGTCTTGAAGTCTGTACCCTCCGATCCACAGCCCGACACACTAACTACCTTACGGAGGGTATAGAGTTCAAGATGTGATGCTACAGAACAAGGTAGTTAGTGTGTCGGGCTGTGGATCGGAGGGTACAGAGGTCAAGACGTGATACTACAGAACACGCTCCGTACTTTCAGCTGTTGGTGCTTTAAAAAAACGTTTGTTATTCATTTCAAAGAATGGAACAAAGCTCTTATGACGGTGGGTGTTGTTGACTGGCTGCCTTTCCTCTAGCCATTGGTTCAAAATTAGGAATGGTAATATGTAGGGGTCTCCGACCTGGGTAATTTAGCCCGATTGCATATAAAGTACATATCGGGTTGAATATTCCAATTTTGAAATTTGATATGAAAACTAGTGACTTTTTATATAACCGTATTGTACAGAAGCTTCTGGTAAACGTATTATAGAAATATATTAATCTGTTGACGATTCTCAAACTGATGGAGTGAATTCACGAACGTTAGTATTTCATAGATCTTTTAAGGAAGAACATTATTAAATCAATGAATTATGTAACGTTTCTACGTTCATCGTCTTAAAATAAGAAGTATGAAATGGAAATTTATCTCATAACGACTTTTAATGAATACTTTAACTCAATAAACAATATTTATGTTCCACAACACTTAGGCCTGATGCCACTGGACAATAAAGTGACTATTAACATATATATCGCCCATTTTATGTTCAGAAAATGATATATAAAATCTTTACAAGAAAAATGACTCTCTTCAAAGCAATAAAGTCTAACGTTTCTTTAGAAACGAAACGCTGGCAAATAATGAGCTTAAAATGCCAGAAATCATCGCGAATTTGAGACATAAGCCACAAAAACAGAACTTACCAAGAGCGCAGTTATCATAGGTCCTGTAACGAGCCATATGTAATTGGTTTTTCCGTACCCTTTCCAACATGGCGAATCCAGAAACTGGGACATGATCGACGCCCAGGAAACTACAAAAACTAGCGGAAAACCTGAGAGAAATAAAACTCGAATTTGAAGATTGTGGCAGCATTTATTTGTGACGTGAGATATTATCTACAAAGAATATATCATGGTGTTTTATATTTACACTGAAAAATGTCACCAGAGGGACTAAACAACAGGTTATTGATGTAACTCTTTTTATTCTTCTCACTAAAACCAAACTTATCATTTGTTTGTGATAAAAAGACAATAGCATTACGGAATATTATGTTTATTTATATTTATTAATATGTATAGAAAATTTTGGTCACAGTTATTAAGGAGTTTTCCACAAATCAGCTGATGAAGCTTCGTGGAAACTTTTTTATATTCATATGTTTATTTTTCATCGTGAATAAAGTATATAATAACAGTAAAAAATTAGAAAAAAAAGGCTTAATAAAATGGTGTTAGAAATCAAGCAACATATTATTTAAACGATATTTTTTATCTTATGCAAGTTAGAAATTAAAATGACAGCTGAGATAAAAACTGTTTCATTGAGATAAGGACAAGATTGATCATTCCACTTTATTAAAAGTTATTTACAAATGTATTAACCATAATAAAACACCAATCACATCAAGCCATGAAATACTGGCCCTATGAACAATATATTGTAGCATTTCTCCTGTAAATATTATAATGTAGTATTAGTCCTGTATAGACTATACTGTAGTACTAGTCCTGTACAGACTATAATGTAGTATTAGTCCTGTATAGACTATACTGTAGTATTAGTCCTGTATAGACTATACTGTAGTACTAGTCCTGTATAGACTATAATGTAGTACTAATACTGTATAGACTATACTGTAGTACTAGTCCTGTATAGACTATAATGTAGTACTAGTCCTGTATAGACTATACTGTAGTACTAGCCCTGTATAGACTATAATGTAGTACTAATACTGTATAGACTATACTGTAGTACTAGTCCTGTATAGACTATAATGTAGTACTAGTCCTGTATAGACTATAATGTAGTACTAGTCCTGTATAGACTATACTGTAGTACTAGTCCTTTACAGACTATAATGTAGTATTAGTCCTGTATAGACTATACTGTAGTACTAGTCCTGTATAGACTATAATGTAGTACTAGTCCTGTATAGACTATAATGTAGTACTAGTCCTGTATAGACTATAATGTAGTACTAGTCCTGTAAATATTATAATG